GACAGAGGGACAAAATTCATGTTATCTTGGCCGAGAACTGGGGCCATGTGGGCTAAGGGTGTGTCGTACAAGGTGTGTGTGGGAGGTTAGTTCTCTGACCATATCTAGAAGTAGCTAAGAATGGCAGGATATCAGGCCCCAGTGCTGACTCACTGAATCTGCCTTTTAACCCCTCCACCTCACCGGCAAGACTAGATGATTCCATTTATACCACAATGAGAGTAATTGCCTTAGATTGAGGCTGAGGCTCTGGAGTTGGGCTCCTCTAGCCACACTCAAGGGTTATACCATCTTCTGCTGTTACTTTTCTCTGCTCAGTAAGGACTCAAATATGCAACTGTGCTGCGGTTCTATTCAGCATGTAAAAGAATGGAACCGTTTAGCCAATGTTTCTCCATTTCCCTTCCTGTACCACTGGATCACAACAAGTTATGACTGCTCTTTATTGACTATGAAGCTCCTTCCACCGTCCCCCAAACTCAGCTCCAACTGCCTCTCCCCATGAACCCTGTTCTTAGCTGAGGGCCTAACTGTGTTTCTGTTGAGCCATAGTAGGCTGGGTGTGGTCTTCCCCCATCACTCTCTACTGGGGTAAGGGTGGTGCAGAGGTGTAATCATTCATTTCAAATGCACTGGTTATCCTTCCTCAGTCATCTTGGGAGATGGGAGAGAAGACAGTTACCTCTCTACTAGATAAAATCCAAGCAGAGACTTTTCCAAATTAAGCACACCTTCATAATTTGAAGTAACGGTTTTCTTTTCTTGTTACTATCCATCGCTTGAGTCACATTTTATTAATAAAGTCTCACACTAGTTATATTATTCATCTTCTGAATCTTAAATGTCTCTGTTTCCCTCCTATAGTAATTTCTAATTGTGTTTCTACAGATACTAGTTTAAAAGACCTTTGGAACCAATAATTTCTTTGTATACTATAAAACCAAATGATTCTCAGTTTTTAGAATATCTTAAAAAAGCATAAGCAGAGACCATGGGAGAAGCTCTGTGTGCTTAGGGAACGAAAGCCAATGGTATTGAGTGACGTTTCTTGACTCTATGGGAGACACTTCTAAGGACAAAAGGCTTTTAGGGGTGTTTTATTTCTTATACAGACATCCCTTGCTGTCCAGTGACATCTGCTCTTGAGTTCAGCAGTTTGAGTGTAGGGAGAGAGCTGGGATAGCAAGGGAAAACTGTTGCCATAAGTCTAGAAGCAGGAGTTCTGGAACAGGACACTGTAACTTTAACCATCAGAGTCTCTAATCCTTCTCATTCACTTGGCAATCCAAACTCAAACCTATGTAACTCCTGAGGGCAAAGCTTTGATCATAGCCACAGCCTTGTCCTCCACTTAAGTATAGTCAGAGTTCTCTGTGTTCTCATTGAGCAATCAGGAAAGGCTCAGAGCCACCAGAGTGGAGGCATTACATAATGCCCTGTTTATTTTATAAAAACAATTAAGTAATAATCATTTAATTAAAGCACTAAAGATTTTCTCAAAGCTTGCTATTGTCCATGAGAACTCAAAGTTATTTGTAGAAAATTGCTCCTTTCTCATAACTGCATGTGAGGGTATATTAATTTTGCTGTTTCTATGACTGAATACCTGACAAAGCAACTTTTTATGGAAGTTCATTAAGACATACAGGTTTCAGATCTGATTAACTTCAGTACACAGTATTTTTTATTTGCAAGTTTTTCTTTTTCTTTCTTTTCTTTTTTGGTTTTTCAGGACAGGGTTTGTCTGTGTAGCCTTGGCTTCCCTGGGCTTACTTTGTAAACCAGGCTGGCCTGGAACTCACAGAGATCCGCCTGTTTCTGCCTCCCTGTGTGCTGGAATTACAGGCATGCACCACTGCACCCGGCATATTTACCACACATCTTTCTCAATTTCTGTCCACCTTAATTTTTTGAGGCAGGCTATCTCCCTGAACCTCTGGAGACTGACAGGCTAGCAAGCCATAGGGATCCTCCTACTACCACTGGAGTTATAGGCATACGCCAAAGCACCTGGTTTTTCCACTTGTTTTTGTTTAATTGTTTATTTTGTGAAACAAGGTCTTTCACTGGCCTGAGACTCAGAAATTAGGCTGGGTGGACAGTGAGCCCCAGGGATTCTTGTGTCACCACTTCCCCAGTGCTGTGTTACAAGTGTGCCACTATACCTGGCTTTTACTATGGATTCTGGAGACTGTATCAAGATCTTCCTGCTTGCAAGCTAACCCCTTTACTAAGTCATCTTCTCAGCCAAGAAGGGTGTCTTTGTGGCTCACAGTTTGAGAAGGACCACAGTACATCACAGCCGGGAAGGCCTGGTGGAGGGAGGGTGAGGTGGCCACAGTCAGGGGGCCAGAGGGGAATGTTAGCGTTCAGTCTGGGGTCCCCAGCCCAACCGGAGATACCACACACATTCAGGGTGTGTCTTCCCTCCTCAGGTAAACCCTTCTGCAAAGAACCTCAAAGTACACCCACAGATGTGTTTTCTCGGGGTTTCTAAATCTAGTCAAATTGACACTGGAGACTAATAGAAGCCCTTTGAGGGTTTGGGGAGATAGCTTAGTGGATAAAGTACTTGCCAGGCAAATGGGAGGACTGGATTTTGGATCTAGAAGGTGGGAGGGCACGGTGGCCACCTACATGCTGGCTACCTAACGTGGCTGATCAGTGAGCTCTGAGTTCAATAAATATAAAGAGGAGAACAACTGAGGGAGACACCCAGCGATAACTTTGGGTGTTCTGTATGTGAACACACACATGCACACAAACCACACATAAAAAAAGAAATGCTTTAAACTTTACAAAATGCTGTAATGAATATTAGTTTATATCATCTTGGATCAGTGGTATCCAGCAGAGTTTTCTGCAATGATGGGAATGCTCTGTTTCATCAAAAAGGCCACACTAGTCACAGGGAGAGTGCACAGTGGAGAGGCAGGCATTCAAACACAATCCAGGATACTTCTATGAGCAGACTAAATGAATGGCTGGGCAAGAGAGAGAGGATATCTGCTATGGAACTCATTCCATGTGATGGACCATATATCCCAAAATATAACAAATATAGTTCATTGACTGAGAAAATTTATTGATTTTGTAAAACAAAGCAAACAAGATTTAATAGAATTTGTGTTTCTCCATTTTTTAGACATTGCTCTCAATTACCGCTGCATTTTTCCCCCCCAAGAGAACCAGTTTATGTATTAGGTAATTATATTATCTGAGTTTCGTTCATCTTACTGATTTACATCATGCAGCTGCTCAGAAGTTTTCTTTGCCTAAATGACAGATGTCATTTAGATGTCATTGTAGCAGATGTCAGCTTGCCTTCATCTGCTGAGAACAAAAGCATGGATTAAGCTGCCAGGTCTCATATGATTAAACTGCCATAACAACATGACTTCTCTGCATGACATTTTCAAGTGAAAGTATTCAGTGGTGTTGCCAGAGGTGACTTAGAGGTCTCTAGCATTAGCACAATCTGTATTTAGCCCAGTCACTTAAAATTAATGCATAGATCATATGAAAATTTCATTTGTTTTGTTAATGAAGCATCAGGAAAAATTCCCTATCATAAGCCAAGAAAGCCATTGAAGTCTCTTTCACACAGATGTCCCACAGTGCTCGTGTCTTAACATATTTACTACCTTGATAGTCTTTTGGTTATGATACTACAACAGAAGGGTATGGTCTTATGGATAGCAATGAACAGCAGTAATAACAACCAAACAAAAAATTCTCGGGGTACAAATGTGGGAGAGTGGCTGTCATATTGATGAGAGGGTATGCCACCCCCAAGGCTGCCAAACAGGTTTGCCAGTACATCCCAGGCCAAATGAACATGGCTGCCCCTGCATATGAACAGAAACACAAATGCCCGCACTGAGACATCACGGCATTGATTGGCTATCCGATATGGTTTCTATAGATTTCTAAGTATTACCTTCAAAACAACAAAAACACAGAATCCACAAGTCCTTGAGAGGATATGCAGGCATCTAAGGGTCAATCTGCAGAACCTCAGAGCCTCTGTGAGCTACTTTGAGATGATGGGTAGAACAGAGCTGCTTACTCACCAAACTGCTAGATGCCTGTTACCATAGGGTCCTGGGCAAAATGACCTCACCTATCCTTTCCTTGTTTTTTTCCCCTTCCCTCCTCCCTCCTTCCTTCACCTTCTTGGTCCCATTCTCCTCTTTCCCTTCCTTCCTTCCTTCCTTCCTTCCTTCCTTCCTTCCTTCCTTCCTTCCTTCTCTCCTTACCTACCTCATTCCCTACCACCCTGCTTCCATTCTTCTTTCTCTTTCTTCCTTCTTTCTTTAACGTATAGTCTTTAATGTATAGTCTTTAACATATACTCCAAGCCTGATCCAACTCAGCCTCCCTCCTGGATGCTGGAATTAACAGGCTTATGCCACCATGCCCAGCTCTGGGCAGCTTTTTAACTTTGAAGTTGGCACTTGCAATCCTGGTCATGTAATTTTGGCCAAGTGACAAATTTGAACTTCAGTTTCTTCACTTATGATACGGAAATGGTGCCAGAGTCCTCCCCACTGAAGGAAAATGTGTGAAATACGTATCTCAATGTCATACATACTGTAGGTCTTTCTTTTCTTTCCTCTTACCTTCTTTTTCCATAGGGGGAGTTTTTTTTCTGCTGTTCCCTGAATTCCTCCTGATCATACAAACTTTGTACTGAATCTTTTTCCTGAGTCTTTTAAAAAGAGAAATCTTGTGCTGGGCATGGTGGTGCACACCTTTAATTCCAGCACTCAGGAGGCAGGGGCAGGTGGATCTCTATGAGTTTGAGACCAGCCTGGTCTACATACTGTGTTTCCAAGACAGCCAGAGTTAAACAGTGGGGCCCTATCTGAAAAAAAAAAGTAAATAAATAAATACTACAAATAAAAAATAAATATTATTGAGACAGCTAGTATGGTGGTACTAGATAATTGTCTTATAAATTGATGTACTCTGCTTAGGACAATAGGTTAAAGGCTATTAAGCCTAGTTGGTCCCTGAAGGGAACAGGGAAAGCCAGCCAAGTTCAGTTTCTCTTTGTATTTTCAAATATATTTCACAATTTCATCAGTCTAGAATGTTTTTTAAACTTCTAGTCCAAAGGTCATATAAAGTTCCTTTGTTAATTCAATAAGCTAAAAGGAAATAATATTTTATAATTATGAAAGGTAAACTTTCATGAAGGTTTTCTTTTGTTGATTGATGCTATTATTTAATATTTACCTTTTAATATTGCCCATCAATCAAAATTATGTTTAAATACTTCCCATGTGTTCAGCTTTCTGTTGGACTTTGGTTTTAAAAATAAAGTTTCATGAAAAGCAGATTTATGTCACAACTCTATTCCAGCAGGTGGCAGAAATTCTAGACAAAGTATTTCTTTTATAGGGACAATTGTCATGATTCCTGCATGTATCAGCAAATATAAGCACCCTGAATGTGAAATTGGGTTTAGTTGGGGAGGAAATAGTAGGAGAACAGAGTGTCACCTAAGAGTGAAGTTTCAAGAGGGCAATAAGCAGAGTTCAAGGCCTAGCTCTCCAACCAACTTTGAACCCGAACACATAGATATAACCTCTTCAGAGTTATCTCTATGTTTAATTCTAGGGATTGAACCTGGGACTTCATAAAACTGAGTCATGAGTTCTGCCACAGAGCTACACCCCAGCCTGCAATTATTCTAAAATTGATAATTTGGAAGGGGGAATTGGATGGTTCCCTCAAGGTCAGTAAGTTACTCTTTGGAAGAGTTGATTAACTAATTCCTGAAACTGTGAAACTACAACCTGGAGGAAGGCTAGAGCATGGCGTGCATGGAGCAGAGATCTTGACTGTCTTATAGAACATCAGGGGCCTGTTTGTGCAGGTACCCAGTAAAAATCTGTGGAATGTGAAACAACTGAGGATTGGCAGAATTCGATTCCTTCCCATTCAGAGATATATCTACCTAAAAGTCTTAAGCTGTGAGTCTGAAAATTAATAACCACTACACATTTGGAGAAAACAGAAAAGGAGGTAAATTCTGCAATAATGGCTCCAATTGATGGTAGGCACAAGGGTGAAGAGTCTGACACTCCAGCTTTGTAGCTATAGATTAGATCACATTATAACAAACCAAACTGTACCTTCTTCAAGCTCTACAAACTAAACAGATGCTTTTTCTAAACAGAACACATGTCTATAGTGTAACTGACTCTTACTCTTGACATCTCCCACCATCACCAGCACAGTACGCCAGTGACAGTTTTTTGTAGGTCCAGATACAAGGGCATCCCCCACTCCGATATAGACAAAGAAATATTTGTGCAGTAGATACAAACTGCTCTCAGGTTTGTATCTGAGAGCAAAATTCACCCCCCAGAGATCCAGTTTAACTGGATGTTCCAGAACAAAGGTGCTCAATGGGCTGGACTCATCCCAGGAAGGGTGGGGAGACTTACAAAAGCCAGTCCTGCCCTCCATCCAAACCAGACAGTAAGCAAGAATGGAAGTGGCTTTGTTTTTTTTTTCCGCCTGAAACTTGGTTCTTAAAAATACATGAATTCCATTCAGCATTTAATAAGATTGTTTTGTCTACTATTGCTTTCCTTGTCTTGAGCTCAAAACATTTACACCCAATATCCTTCGGGTTGGCCATGTACTCCTTACATTCCTAGCTAATGAAAAGTTGGAAATCGTTGTTGTAATTATCTTAGGAAAATGTATAATGCCTCATCAAGACCACATACTATCTTTGCTCAGTGTTTGGCAATGAAGAGGTTGAGCGATCCAATACGCATGTTAACCTCTCAACAACATGAGTCATAGTTAATGACATTGCACTTTTCTTCTTTGCTTTCCTAGTGCCCACATTTAGGAGTTAACATTCAGATGAATCATTTTGACATCCCATGAATTAACTTCCATAGTGACTCAAAGGTAGCTATTATTTTCCTTCACGCCAACTATCAGGTTAAAATTAATTTTACTGTGAGTAAAATTTCTCAGTTTTTCAGTTCTTCTGTTCAGATCTTTTACTTAGTAACATGGAAACCACTTTTTTTTTTAGGTCAAGTAATTTTCTCAAGATTGCATTGCTAGGAGGCAGCAGAGTTAGTTAAAATCTAAGGATCGTAACTTCCTAAGCCAGCACCCATTAGTCTGTTCCAATAATTTGATCTCCTAAGTATGATTTGGAAAATACTGTTGGTTCCTGAGCCCCTTTAAAGGCTCAACCACGTCAAAACTATCTCACAGGTAAGCTGTTATCAGCCTTTTTAATTTGCATCCGTGTGTGGAATTTCCCAAACTTACATGACATGGTATTGCGAGAGATGGAATGTAAAGGCTGATATGAGACTTTAACTGTTCTCTGCTGTATCAGACAATGGAGGCCTTTGTGAAGCAAGGCCCTTATTCTCCGTAACATTAAAAAGTATAGTTGTTTGTTTTTTTTTTTACATAAACTGTGTTACTTATATTAACAGACAATGAGCTTGTTGTCCTACTGTGAAACAAATAATTATATGTTTAAAATTTCTCAGTTGTCATTTCAAATTATATGCACATGCATACATACATATTAGATGGATAGATGGATAGAGACATATTCAATACCAAAGATTAGCCAAAGAAAGCCATTTGTGGCTTCCATAATTCTAAAAATCTCTAAATGAGTTCTAAGCTCTAAAGTTTGGGAATTGCTGTCCTAGCCATAGAGTTGTGTAAGACAGGGCCATACTATTTCCAGACACTTCCATCAAAATGGAGCTCATCATTTTGCTTTGTACAATTCATATCAGTCGGGATCCTAACAGAAAACAGCAGTAAAGAGAACACTGAGAGAATTATCATGAAGGAACAATTATATGATGTATGAGCAGAGGTAAGGGATTGTGGTGATTGAATGAGAATATCCCCCACAGGCTTATATATTAGAACAGTTGGTTCCCAGTTGCTAGTGCTGTCTGGGGAGGTTTAGGAAGTATGGCCTATTGGAGGAAGGTCCAACTGTGTTTTCAAATGCTGATGTCAGTGCCATGGCCACTGTTACGAGCAATGAACTATCTCTAGCAACTATGTGATGAAAATGAATGTTCCCCAATTGTCCCTGATTGGCTAAATAAAGATGCTGAGGCCTATGACTGGGTAGAAGAGAGAGAGGCAGAGTTTTAGGTTCTGGGGCTTGGAGTTGAGAGAGGAAGAGGAGAAGAGAGGAGATAGGAGGAGAGGTAGCAGTAGAAGTGAAAGCTGCAGTTACCTTGGATGGACAAGATGGACGATGAACATGTGGCTGTAAAGACAGACTCATGGAGCAGAAGCTGCTCAACAGTCTCAGATTGGCAAGTGATTAGCTTTTATGTGGGTTTTAAAGACCCTAGGATTAGAATAGCTCAGAGTATGCCCAGCATAGTGCTTACAGCTTAATAATAAATCATAGTCTCTCTGTGTCGGTCATTGGAGAACTAGCTGATTAAAGAAAACTGCTGTTGTAATAATTTCCTGCATTAATTAATTTAGAAAGAATAACTATTCTTTCTAGAATGTCCTATAAAAGGCACGAGGTCCTCGTGCTCACAAATAATCACTAGGGAAAACAGGATTATTAAACACTTACAGTTTATCTCCTCAATGGAGGAGTTGTTACATGTTTTCCACCCAAAAGGCTGGAAGTGGATGTTGCTAAGAGCATAATGATCTGTGCTATCTTTAGGGTTAGGCCACATCTGAGTCTCCGCTACTGCCACCATACACACTATTGTTTATCCCTGACGCTTCCTGCTTAGACCTTTGTCATTAGCTTTGTTTCTCAGACAATAGAGCCCATCCTTAGGGGAGACGCCATGTGGAC